CTCCATTTTTGCTGAGAAGGCAGTTCCTACCAGTATTGGTAGTACTTGTTGATTGTTCTCTAGACATATTCTGTCGTTGCTACCACCTTCTTTCAACTTCAAAGGCACATTGGTCTTTAGACATTTTCTGTCGATGATGCTGGTGTTTTTTGGCATCAGAGCGACATGTTTCCAGTAGCTGGTCTTCAGATACATTCTGTCACAGGCGCTGCCTTCTTTCAAGATCAGACGCACTTTGCTCTTCAGACATTTTCTGTCGATGACGCTGGTGTTTTTTGGCATCAGAGTGACATGTTTCTAGTAGCTGGTCTTCAGATACATTCTGTCACAGGCGCTGCCTTCTTTCAAGATCAGACGCACTTTGCTCTTCAGACATTTTCTGTCGATAACACCGGCATCTTTTGGCTGCAGAACTATGTTGTATCAACAGTTGTTCTTTAGACATAGTCCCACCTCTCTACTGTCACTGTCTGAGATGCAGGTGAATGAGAGTCCTTGCTGTCAGGCCGCTGAGAGCTGTCTGACCAATGGCTGATTCTGGCTGATTCTGTGGGGGTGGGACTTCCTCCTCCCTGCTGTCAGTTTCCACAGCTGTGATGAGGAAGCTGGGGTGACAGAGGGAGCCACACCCTCCAAGCCACCCTCTCTCTTGCTCTGCTCTATGTCCAGCAGCCTCCTGCTCTGCCAAGTCCTCCAAACCTCCCACTCTCCGCCCACTCTCCTGCTCTGCTCTCTGCTGGTGAAGGTCCTGGGAGCCTGCGGGAGTGGCTAGGCGTGGCTGGCCTTGCCTCCCAGGGCCTGCAAAGGTCCCAGGAGCCAGCAGCCGCCATTGCCTCCTGGGGCACTTGACAACTGCGCATGCAAATCAACCTGCCAGCTTTGTCAGGTTAATTTGCATACTCACTCCTGATTGGCTGGTGAGCATAGTGGAGGGACGGTCAATTTACATGTTTCTCTTTTATTATATAGGATACTCAACCAGAACTCCTAGATTTATGCTTCCAAGTAAACTAGGCAAATAAGGTTATTTATATTATGCAATCAAGTCATTCAAATTTGCTAAAGGCATGTGTATAGGCTTATAATATCTGCAAAACATGCTAGTTGGCAATTTTCCTGTTTTTTTATTTTTTAAAGATTTATCTAGGAAGGAAAAAGTTAACTGTGATAACATGAAGCCTGTTGACAATGATCAGTTTCATCCATATCACCTTTTAAATTTTCTATCTTTTAATGCTTTATTTCTAATGTCTGTGAAATTATCTTTCCATTTGATATCACACCTGAAGTTTCTAGCAAAGATCATTTACCGCTAGGTCATTTTTCTAATTCACTGGTTCTTAGCTACATGCAGGGTGATGGAATCATTGACCTCTTTGGGAATTCAACAAAAGTCACATGTGGCCATTCTCCCTTAAAATTACACAGCATACCATTTGGCATAATATTGCAGGACCCATGCTGAAACCCATTCTTGGACCTCTGGTCCTGACCCTTTGAACCTCAGTATTAATGGGCTAAAAACATTCTTTATTTCAAAGTAGGCAACCAGATTAAAATATAAGAGATTTCAGACTCAAAAGTGATTAAAACATCATATCTTTTATGAAACTATCCTATATAATAAAAGCCTAGGTGTTGCCACATGCGATGTCATCACAAGATGGCCACCACAAGATGGCCACCACAAGATGGCCGGCAGGAGAGGGCAGTTGTGGGTGATCAGGCCAGCAGGGGAGGGCAGTTGGGGGTGATTGGGCCAGCAGGGGAGGGCAGTTGGGGGTGACCAGGCTGGCAGGGGATCAGTTAGGCGTCAATCAGGCCAGCAAGGGAGCAGTTAAGGGGCAATCAGGCTGGCAGGCAGAAGCGGTTAGGGGCAATCAGGTAGACAGGCAGGTGAGTGGTTAGGAGCCAGCAGTCCCGGATTGTGAGAGGGATGTCAGACTGCCAGTTTAGGCCCGATCCCTATTGGGCCTAAACCAGCAGTCAGACATTCCCCAAGAGGTCCCAGACTGGAGAGGGTGCAGGCTGGGCTGAAGGACCCCACCTCCCGGGGCACAAATTTCGTGCACTGGGCCTCTAGTGTTGATATAAGAAGAGAGACATTGAGTTCATATTGATGACTTATTACTTTGGGTAAATCATCTGAGAACCAGTTGGTGGGAAAGAGGTTGAGAATTTGAGACAAGAGGGAAAAGAATATGGAGGAATCTTTGTAGGCGTCTGGGAATAGTTAATTATGCATTCATCTGAGGGCCCAGTTGAAGTAAAAGTGAGAGTAAACCTATAGAGAATAAAGTCTCATGACTAAATGACTATCTTATACTGAGAAGTTTGATATGAAGAAAATGGGTAGTTAGGCTGTGTGTTGGAAGCTAAAGAAAACATTAGAGTTGATTAAATAATTTTTGTATTTATCCTATACAAACAAAAAACACGGACTCAAAATTATTTTGCTATTAATTTAATGTAATTGATATTAGCAAATCATTTTATTGATATGTTAAAATATACAGAAAAGGAAGTATTAGGAATGGACATCGGGCTTAATAATTTTTTTAAATTTTTATTTTTATTATTATTATTTTTTAAAATATATTTTATTGATTTTTTACAGAGAGGAAGGGAGAGAGATAGAGAGTTAGAAACATCAATGAGAGAGAAACATCGATCAGCTGCCTCCTGCACATCTCCTACTGGGGATGTGCCCGCAACCCAGGTACATGCCCTTGACCGGAATCGAACCCGGGACCTTTCAGTCCGCAGGCTGATGCTCTATCCACTGAGCCAAACCGGTTTTGAACGGGCTTAATAATTAATGTGTTTTTTAATTCTACATGTGGTTTTACTGTTTCATTCATTATTATCTAAAGGATAAAGTAAACGAATGAAGTGAAAAAAAAGAAAATATTAGAGGTGTAATAGTATAAGTAGGTGAGTGTCTGGAAGGGTATGTTTTAAATGATTGACTGCAGTCTAGATTAGGTAAAAAGGTAAGTGAGACAAGTTAGGGCCTGATAAACAAGAACAATTAGAAAGAATCAAGGGGTTATTCTCATTGTAAGAGAAAAGCTATGTTGCCCTGGCCAGTGTGGCTCAGTTGATTGGACATCATCTCATGCACCCAAAAGCTTGCTGGTTCAATTCCTACTCATGGCACATGCCCTGGTTGCTGGTTCGATCCCTGGTAGGGGGCATCCAGGAGGCATCCGATGGATGTTTCTCCCTCTCCCTTCCTCTCTCTCTAAAACTCAATAAAAAAATCTTAAAAACAATAAAGCTATGTTAATAAAAGTCAGGGAGCAGGAGAGGAAGATAAAGATGAAGATAAGAGAATACCAAATACATTACTCAAATTTTCAGAGTGGAACAAAAATACGGAAATGATCTCAACTATTATTTCCTGCAGTTTGCACAGAACAGGCAAGAGAATTATTGGAGCTATTCCATATCTTTCATAGCACTACTTGGCCTGGAACTTGGGACCTGGTAATGTTAGTTATAGCAATAGGTTAAGGTAATATTCCCTTCCTCTCTTCCTTTTGTTAACATCTGTGTCAACCTGTTGTTGCTTGAAAAATCAGTCAATTTAAATGATAGTAAGATTTCCCCCAGTGATGGTGTAAGATGGGGAAGGGAAGTTTAACCTATTGATAAGTAATTTATATTCCGCCAAATACATAATTCTTGGCATGCTAGTTATTGGCATGTTTTATACAAAGAGAATCCAAAACTTTAAAGTATTGTTATATCTAAATGGCCTAAAATGTTGTGTTTATGCATACATACACATTCACATGTAAACGCCTACACATACTGGACACTTACTTAAAATACAAATATTTTAGTCACATTTCACAGTCATATTTGGGGTAATTTATAAACATGATGTATTTATTTAAAATCTGGTTTATTACTTATGATTATTTTCCATGTTCATACGTTTTATTATGGGATTGGTTATATTTCCATTTGGAGTCCATGGCTGTAGTGTTGAGCAGATCTCAAAAAATATTACAGGAAAAGAACATTCTTACCAAAACCTACAAAGCTTCACAGAAGTAGAGGCTGATTTTCAAAAGTCAATGTACAATACTCCCCCTCTTAAAATTCTGCATGGAAGTTTTACACATGCAAAAATATACTTATGAAAAAAGGAACTCATCAACCATTTTTCAATTAACAACCAATGCTGAGCAGAATACAGTGATTTACTGCTTTTGGAAAGAAAAACAGTTACCTATCTGCAGTGAAAAACCTCACAAAAGGTAAAACAAAAACAAAAACAAAACACCCTACCAAAACGGAAAATATGAAGACAGAATCATTTTACACTTACACAATCATGCGCATGGTGTCGCTCTTCACTGAGAACTTTTCCTCTAAGAACGCGCCTCCGCTTCCTCCTGCAGAAAATTTGGCATATAGTGGAAAACCTCCAGCGAATTCTCCCACGATAGAAGGCCGTAAAATTGGACCTTGAGAGTCAGTTTGAGGTAAGGTATTCTATATACTTCAGATATTTCTGAAGCCTTTTGAGTGTACCATGCTGTTTTCCCGGCGAGGAGGCCCAGGAACCCGACGTTTGCTGTTCTCGCTTTTGCTCCTCGCAGCCTGGAAGACAGGGAGCGGCCAGGTTCACTACTCGGTCCCCGAGGAGGCCAAGCACGGCACCTTCGTGGGCCGCATCGCGCAGGACCTGGGGCTGGAGCTGGCGGAGCTGATGCCCCGCCTGTTCCGGGTGGCGTCCAAAGGCCGCGGGGACCTTCTGGAGGTAAATCTGCAGAATGGCATTTTGTTTGTGAATTCTCGGATCGACCGCGAGGAGCTGTGCGGGCGGAGGGCTGAGTGCAGCATCCACCTGGAAGTGGTGGTGGAGAGGCCGCTGCAGGTTTTCCATGTGGAGGTGGAGGTGAAGGACATTAACGACAATCCCCCCGTGTTTCCTGAAAATAAGAAAAGAATAATCATTGCAGAATCGAGACCTCCGGAAAGTCGGTTTCCACTAGATGGCGCTTCTGATGCAGATGTTGTAGTAAACTCCGCTTTGACCTACCGAATGGATCCCAGCGATTATTTCGCTTTGGACACACAACATAACCGGCAACAAACGTCTTCGTTATCACTTGTGTTGAGGAAATCATTGGACAGAGAGGAAATTCAGGAACATAGGTTATTGTTGACAGCCACTGATGGAGGTAAACCCGAGCTGACCGGCACAGTTCAGCTGCTGATCACAGTTCTGGATGTGAATGACAACGCCCCAGAATTTGACAAATTCATTTACAAGGTGAACGTTTTAGAGAACGCATTTAATGGAACATTAGTGTTCAAGCTAAATGCCACAGATCCTGATGATGGGATAAATGGAGATATAATCTACTCATTTAGAAGGCCTGTGTCGCCTTCAGTATTGAATGCATTTATCATAAATCCCAACAGTGGAGAAATTAGGACCAAAGGTAAACTGGATTTTGAAGAAGAGAAATTTTATGAAATATCCGTTGAGGCAGTTGATCAGGGGAATATTCCCATGGCGGGTCATTGTACCATTTTGGTGGAAATACTAGACATAAATGATAATGCTCCAGAAGTTGCTATCACTTCTCTGTCACTCCCGGTGCCAGAGGATGCTCAGGTGGGCACTGTCATTGCCTTGGTCAGCGTGTCCGACCGTGACTCTGGCACTAACGGACAGGTGACCTGCTTATTAACACCGCATGTCCCCTTTAAGCTGGTGTCCACATTCAAGAATTACTATTCGCTGGTGCTGGACAGCGCCCTGGACCGGGAGAGTGTGGAGAACTACGCTGTAGTAGTCACCGCGCGGGATGGGGGCTCACCTTCGCTGTCGGCCACCGCCAGCCTGTCCGTGGAGGTGGCCGACGTGAACGACAACGCGCCGCTGTTCGCGCAGCCCGAGTACACGGTGTTCGTGAAGGAGAACAACCCGCCCGGCTGCCACATCTTCACGGTGTCGGCGCGGGACTTGGACGCGCAGGAGAACGCGCTGGTGTCCTACTCGCTGGTGGAGCGGCGGGTGGGCGAGCGCGCGCTGTCGAGCTACGTGTCGGTGCACGCGGAGAGCGGCCAGGTGTACGCGCTGCAGCCTCTGGACCACGAGGAGCTGGAGCTGCTGCAGTTCCAGGTGAGCGCGCGCGACGCGGGCGTGCCTCCTCTGGGCAGCAACGTGACGCTGCAGGTGTTCGTGCTGGACGAGAACGACAATGCGCCTGCGCTGCTGCCTCTGCCTCC